AAATGCTTGTATTCGGCACAAAACATACATCAACGTTTCAGTCCGAGAGGACTTTTTTCAAGACGTCTTGAAAAAAGTCCTCTCGGAGTGAAACGTTGATTTCTTCACTTTTACAAAGACCCCAGACTGCTCTCATCTATTATATTTATATATCTTAAACTCATCTCTAATACACTGTGTCACCCTCAGGAAAAAGTTCACACATCTGGGAAAGTCTGGTGAAGTCTACTTCCAGCCGAATCGTGCTTTCTGGAAACCCTTTATATATATATAGATAGATAGATAGATAGATAGATAGATAGATAGATAGAATGCTGCCCAATTATATATATATATATATATATATACCTAGATAGAATGCTGCCCAATTGTGTTTAAGGGTGGGCCAACTGACATGATGCCCCTGCTTTAGCACAGGTGTGTTCACTGAGATAAGAAGCAAGAAGGGATATCATCAGATCGTGACTGAAGGTGGGTCCTGAGAACAGGTGTAAAGAACATGTTAGGAGCTGTAAAACTAGATTAAAGAAAGGAAATATATTGAACAGAGGTTGTGGGAGTGTGAACAGACCCTTATTTATTGACGTTGGCTGACTATTGGTATAATATACATTTAATGTCCATCTAGGTGCTATAGGAATATCTAGACAGACAGACAGACATTGTTTTATAATAAAGCCATTTTTATAATTTGAATGAATAGATGCTGATAAACATATGTTGTGTAGCTGTTAATTAATGTTTAGTAACTATCCATAAAAGACAATCTATTTGTCTGGAACCTTCTTGAGACATAATGATGGCTTTAATGAAACATGTCATTAGCCCGGGGCTCATAGAATGCTGTCCGTTGTTTTTGTGGCATTACCCTGTGTGATCGAGTTAGCCATACAGGACAGTGTGTGTGTTTAGGTGTATACAGCACAGTGTGACCAAACTGGGGCATGTGGGCTCTGCGCCAGCCAGGGTGTGAAGCTGTAGACCTTTAAATTGCGCCTCTTGTGGTTTAATAAGGCATAGCAGTCTCTTCGCCAGAGAAGGGGGATTTGTAACACTGTGCCACTGTTATATACTCTTCATGGGATTTTCTATTCTTTGAAACCGCAAATCATAAAAAAAAGGAGGAGACATTACCTGATGCTTTTTTTCATTTGCCATCATTGGTAAAATATAAGCTGTCGGTTCTAATGAACACCATTTAAAGTGGCCTCTTTACTGGGGTTTAGGTTAAGCAATACAGAATAAATGAACTCAATTACATTAACAAGATCCAGCCTTTTGGTGCTCTAGTGAATATTTGTAAAATTGGATATCCTGACACTTTGATTAATTATTTCACAATTTATCCAAGCTCTTCCTTTTGTATGTATATCCTTTGTTAAGTAAGTTTTACATATTATACATTCCCAACACCCCCACCTTGCCCCTCAAAGAGGAAGACAGGAAGAGACACGATAAAGGTTAATATCAGACTGCATGATACAGCTGTGATTGACAAGAAAGGAAGGTGCTGAGTGCAGGTCGAGTTGCCTTATTTACAACCCACTGCTGGGTGTAGAGCCTTTGTCAGGCCTAGATTTAGCTAATTTAGTGCTGATCAAAAGCACCGCAGAGTTAAAGGTCTGGTAATGACTGCTAATTCTATTTCAGCCACATACATCCCCAACTGTTGTAATTAACTACGTGCTATTTAAGTGCAGGTAAAGAATATTTTTGCAGTATTTTTTTTTATACATATCTATAACACAGACCATGTCATAATTGCTAGACCGTCATTAACCCTTTACGTGCCATCATCAAATCAGTTCACATTGCAATATGTACAGTGGACTGGACATCAAAGGTGTTACGGCAGCTGATTGGTTTGCTGTCTGTTACTTTATTTCATTGATTTTATAATGTATGTAATAAGATTTTGTATGTCATGAGAGTAAAAAATAAATAAATTACACAGTGAGTATTTTATGAACGTTGGAAGCGATTTTAAACGGCCAGAAATCAGATATCAGATAAGGATTGATCGTTAAAATTGTATTTATTCAAATATTGCATTTTTGCCAGTGACCGTGTAGGTTACTGTGAATGGGCTATATATTATAACCTTTCTGTAAGTGGACGCTTAAGCTAAGCTGATATGCATGCATCGTGTTAGTAAAATGGCAAAAATCCGTCTCTACTTATTTTTATCAATTAATTATATAATAAAACTCTAATTATAAGAGTAGATTGAGCGATTCCTATTTCGCTATTGACTGAGGATGTGTTAGAGGTAAGGCAGTGATGGAGCACGTTGTCTTGAGCCCCCCCTGTTGGACACAGCAGGAGCTGCACGGTGCTGAGTGCAAGTGCAACTTTCTCAGAAATTTATATTCGTTCTATTTTAGAACTTTGTTATTCGTTCTGTTAAAAATAATAAGAAAAGTCATTTCAAAATTCGAAATTACACTGAAAGATAAACCCAATCCCGGTGAACCGTTTAAAAGAATCCTTTATTTATTTTGCATGTTATCGATCATTTTACAGATTATCGCAAATAAATATTTCATCTACTTATCGTAGAAGTTAAGTTTAACCTTTTCCTTGCCGGGTCACCATTTTATAACCACGGCAGATTGTTTTCATAGTCATCAAGCAAATGCCTTTAGAATAAATCATAAAAAAATGTTGTCCTTTTTTAAAAACGTTTTAAAAGAGAAATTGATAACTTTGATTGCAAATGATGATGATATTGAAATATTTGCTTAATAATTTGTTAGGAATATCTATGTTTAATAAAAAACATTTATTTTTCCTCAGAATCTTTTAATATGAATTATACTATCTTTTAATATGAATTATATTGCTTCAAACTACACACCACCCGGTTTAACTAGTTTCAGTTTAAAAGTCCATTCGACTAATTGATGATCCTGTAATTATATTCAACCAAAAATTCCACAGCTGTAAGCTTTGTTAAATATCTCACTATAAGACATTTTTGGGGGGGATATAATAATGCAATGCAAATATATATATAATTATTTTTTATTATTAGAATTTTTTTTATTTTTTTTAAGTTTCTGAGTTACTCTGGTCGCTAAATGGTTAAACATCTACATTGTCATGTAAAGCTAGCGATCTTGTAGCGCTGAAGTGTAAAATTGCAGAAGCCTTTGTCTTGTTATCTGATGACATATTACTGGTGATAAATGATTATATGGCAGAATTATTGCTCTGACTAATGGCTTAGATAACCCATAGAAAATCCCTTTCACATTCAGGGCAAATGAATTACCCGAATAACAGTAACTCTTCAACCTAGAGAGAAATATCACATTGTAATTTGATTATCTCACTAAATTATGATTTAGGTAAGGAGTGAAATCTGCATTGTTCCTGCTATAGGATTCTATTTAATTAAGCTTTTTTTTTTATTATTGTTGTATTATTATTATTATTACTATTATTACTGACATTTATAAAGCGCTGACATGTTCCGTAGCAATGTACAATTGGGGGAAGACAGAAAATGTAAAGAGGGCCCTGCCTGTGAGCTGAGATCACTGAGAGGAATCTAATCTAATTTCTTTATAGTCGGACCTTTATAGTTGATGATTATAATGCATGCAGCTACTTGTAATATAGAGGTTTCTAAATACAAATCTAGATCTCATTGTTCACAGAGGCCAAGATTAGGGCTTTGGCTTTCTACATGACAAGTGAGATGTCACAGGCTGCTATAAATGTTGACTATATAATGTAACCCATGTAATAAACATTCCCCATGGCTGCAGTATCTATCTGTCTCTGTTAGTTTCACTAGCTATAAATATAGTCACTTGGTGTATCTAACCCCCTCTGGTAATGCAGTCTAAATTCTTACCATTCGCTTTGGCCCAGTTAAATCATGGGAATTATACATGGATTCAAATGCCATTTATAACTAGAATCAAATATTATTACTAGTAATAAAGATATCTCAAATCAGCACATACATCTATACTGTGTTAACATGTACTAATTGCATTGATAAACTGATATAGATAAACACAACAGTGCATACATAGTTCACATTGTAACAGGATGCAATATTTACAAAGAGAATGGATTTGAAGAGTTCTCTCTGTGTACATACACATGCCAATATGGGAGATAGTTCTCTCTGTGTACATACATATGCCATTGTGGGAGATAGTTCTCTCTCTGTACATACACATGTCATTATGGGAGATAGTTCTCTCTGCGTACATACACATGGCATTATGGGGGATAGTTCTCTCTGTGTACATACACATGTCATTATGGGAGCTAGTTCTCTCTGTGTACATACACATGCCATTATGGGGGATAGTTCTCTCTGTGTACATACACATGCCATTATGGGAGATAGTTCTCTCTGTGTACATACACATGTCATTATAGGAGATAGTTCTTCCTGTGTACATACACATACCGATATGGGAGATAGTTCTCTCTCTGAACATACACATGGCATTATGGGGGATAGTTCTCTCTCTGTACATACACATGCCATTGTGGGAGATAGTTCTCTCTGTGTAGATACACATGCCACTATGGGAGATAGTTCTCTCACTGTACATACACATGTCATTATGGGAGATAGTTCTCTCTGTGTAAATACACATGCCATTATGGGAGATTGTCCTCTCTGTGTACATACACATGCCATTATGGGGGATAGTTATCTCTGTGTACATACACATGTCATTATGGGGGATAGTTCTCTATCTGTACATACACATGTCATTATGGGAGGTAGTTCTCTCTCTGTACATAAACATGCCATTATGGGATTTAGTTCTCTCTGTGTACATACACATGCCATTATGGGATATAGTTCTCTCTCTGTACATACACATGCCATTGTGGGAGATAGTTCTCTCTGTGTACATACACATGTCATTATGGGGGATAGTTCTCTCTGTGTACATACACATGCCATTATGGGAGATAGTTCTCTCTGTGTACATACAAATGCCATTATGGGATAGATAGTTCTC